ATTGATTGATTGATTGATTGATTGATTGATTGATTGATTGATTGATTGATTGTTTGATTGACTGACCAATTGATTGATTGACTGACTAATTGATTGATTGATTGGTTGCTATATTGATGATTGATTGATTGATTGATTGATTGATTGATTGATTGATTGATTGATTGATTGACTTATTGATTTATTGATTGGTTGCTATATTGATTGATTGATTTATTGATTGATTGATTGATTGATTGATTCAGCAGCTGGGTGACCGTTACCTTTGGCTCTGAGTCGGTACACAGACACCAGGAGGAGGGTGGAGATGAAGTAGGGGCAGAACACCAGCAGGCGGAGGAGCAGCATGAACCCAAGGTGGGGGGGGGATGAGTCAGGGGGCGGGGCTTCAGAGGTGGGCGTGGTCATAGAGGTGGGCGGGGCCGTGGTTGGAGGTTTCCCTGCAGAGAGAACCCACCTGGTCAGGTGACTGTGGGAGAAATTGGAGCTGAACTGAGAGGTGATTCTCACCTGTGACCCGGACCCGGCTGGAGGGGGACCTGTCCCCCCCGATGGAGCAGCTGTAGAGGCCTTCATCAGACCTGCTAACAGGCTGGAGGGTCATGTGACCTGTAGGCTCCGTCCTGATGAGGGAGCCATCTTTATAGAATAAAGCAGCTGTGGGGCTGGAGGGGGGGGGGTCTCCTGTACAGCTCAGAGTGAGGGCCCCCCCCTCCATCACAGGGAGGACAGGACTCTGCAGGATCACTGGTCCACCTCAACACAGAGACAGACTACAGCACTTCATCCATTTCCACACAGCTTCATCAGCACTAACTCCACAGTCTGATCTTACCAGAGACAGTGAGGGGGGCGCTGGGACCGGCCGCCCCCCCGCCGGACTCACACCAGTAAGATCCACTGTCCCTGTCAGTGACAATACTGATCCTACAGACAGAACCGGTCAGTTTTCCCCAGCCGTCTCCACACTGGGTCCTGGTTTTTCTGCTGGTGTTCCTCCTCACAGTCCATCCAGCAGAGCTGCCGTCCTCCTCACAGCTCAGAGACACAGAGGCTCCTTCAAAGAACTGAGAGCTGCTGGGACTCACAGTCAGAGCAGCTTGGTGTGTGGAGCCGCTCAGCAGTGAGGTCACAACTGGAGAGGAAACACACTCAGGTCGGTTTGAGTTGGACTGGAGAACTCAACAGCATAAAGCAACAAGCTGAGGAAAGCAGAGCTCAGAAGAACAGAGCAGGAACCCAAAGATCTGCTCTGAGAGCCCTGATGGAAAGTCCCAAAGCAGAGCCTTCCTTCCCTCTGTAACAGTCAGGAAGCAGACACATGGGAACGTCTGAGTCCGGACAGACAGGACTAGCTGTCTGCAGACGGCTTCTGCTTTAGTCCGGACCAAAGCAAAGGGCTCTCACTGTGTCTTCTGAGCAGGCTGCTCACATCTGGAGCCTTTCAGCCTGTTTCTCTGGCTGTTTGTGGCCTTTCTCTGAGCCGACTTCCTGGTTAAAGCCCCTAAAGCTCCTCCAGAAGCAACTCATCATGCTGCATTTTCCACCTGACTTCAGCCTGACCTGTTTCAGTGTGCCCCCCCATCAGAAGTCGTCCACAGAGCAGAAACAGAGAAAACAGAGAAAACAGAGAAAAGCGTCTCTACTTACGGAGCAGGTACTGAGCACATGCCTCCATCTTTGCGTGTGTCAGTCTCTGGGCCAGTGTGAAGTTTTTACCCCAGATGCAGCCCGCCCCCTTCCTGTGTGAATCTGTGTGGTTTTTCTGCTCTTCACCACACCGGTGGGCAGAATGCTCTGTTATTTTAAGATACAAGCAATGAATTAATAAGCAAATTTGAACAAAGTCCATTACCGAACTCTCTTATTTTACAATGTAGTTTTAAAAAGCTCTTTTAGATATTAAAAAGTTATTTAGTATCCGAGTACGGTTTGAATTTGAAAAAAATCAAAAAAACTTAGGAGGCCTCGGCTGTAAACAAAGCGTTTCTGGTGGTCTGTGGCTTTCAGTCACAGATGCACAGATACACTCTTATAATTTAAACAAATAGATAAAGGTTAACCATATGAGGCTTTGGATGAAGTCAGATGCTGTTATCAACCAGTTTTCCAGTTTTCCACTTCCAGACACTGACCAGCTTCTGCCTAATACTGAGTCTCTAATAAGGGACCTGCCCCCTCACATTCATATGCAGTGTGATAACCAGCAGTAAAACAGGAACCGCCCTACAGAGCGTAATGGAAAAACACTGGTTACATTCAGACTTCCCCACAGTGCAGAACGTCTTCATCGGCCGTGTCTCCGTCTGATGTCCCCGTAATGCTCATATTTACATATTTTAATCTGTTCTTTACTATATCAAATTACTAATAAAGTGTAACACTTATTAGTTAGTTATGGCTGAGTTCTGGGGCCCGCTGACCAAACACAATTGGTTTGAGCAGGTCGGAGGTCACGTTGGCTGAAAGCTGAGAAAAAGACCTACGCGACAAGGTATGATATGGCCCCGGTCCGGTTCCGACCCGGTTGGGTCCGATCCCCAGAACCAGAACCGGGCTCTGACTAAAGCCTTCTAAGTGGGCTTCGCCCGCCTGGAACCAGAACCAT